ATACCAGCCTCCACTGGCCCAGCACCTGATCACTGCCAATTTCTATGGAAGGGAGGCACCAAATCTGAACCTGCAGCTTGCCCAAAGTCTGTACCACAGCAGGGATTGAGCCTGGCCTGTCTGTGTCTCAGTAGCCCCTCTACCATCCTTCATACCGACCCAAACCCTATTAAGAAATTTGCATCTCAACATGCCCCAGAGTTGAAAATGCACTATCAGCCAAACAAGGGAAGCATTTTTCCAGTACGCATAGCAATAGTATATGGTAAGCCAATCATTTTGATAAACTCGAAGAAAAATATTCAGGTATCAGCAAGGTTGCCACAGTACCTGCCTCTATGAAAAGTAGCTACTTAACCCAGATAAATATAATCTCTGAAAAGTCAATAATATAGACCTGTACTTGCCTCCTGCATTTGAAGTTTCTTTCCATCATATGACAGGTCAGGACAGCAGATCCAATCCAGACCTGACACAGGAACTGGGTGATGGGATTTGGAAAACTGATCTCAAAATTGGCTTGAAATGGAAACTGACACCTTTAACTGAAATATTTATGGAGCCCAAAGCCGTGTGGAACAGACTGTGAAATTTCAGCATTGATTTCTTGCTTCAAGACTACAGGTGAGGGACCCCTGGACTTAAAGCAGAGGGAGGGGGATCTCTTGAAGGAACACAGAGGGAAATACAGAAGTATGAGGGGCCAGGAAGAGATAAATTATGCAGAGGCAGGTATTTGATATTCATGTTTGTTTTCAGAGGATAAATTAAATCTTGCTTATTGAGAGCTGCAGGGAAAAAAAAAAGAAAAATACATGACTCAAGAGCTGCTTAGACTAAATTTTAACCTTTAAGTGGCCTCTTAGGAAGATTTGGACAACTCTGTTATTTGGGAACTGAGGGTCTTCTGCACGTCTCTAGGAGGTGAAGAGCTGTGCAATTCCAGATAAGAGAGATTAAACGCCAAAGCCCGTTAAGCCAAGTACTTCCATACCTGCAGAAGTTGAGCACCTCAGTATGTTATGCAGTCCCCCTGGGAAGTGCAACAGGGCCATCATTCCCATTTTACAGATGGGGACCCAAGGCAGAAAGGGATGAAAAGCCTGATTTTTAAAAGTATTTAGGCACAAAGCTCCCATTCCCATTGGAGAAATACAGTGTGCAGAGACAGCCAGGCAAGAGAAGAGAGGCTTCGTGTGCCGACTTGGAACAGAGACCGACAGAAACCCAGAATCCATAATTAGAGCAATGAACCCAGCGTATGGGATGTCAGCACCTCAAGAGCTTAAAACCTTTGCAGAGGGTAAGTGCTCCGTTCCCCATGTCCTCACTGTTGTCTCAGCCTGTCACGCAGCCAGGTGAGGCACCTCCAACAAGTAGACTGCCAAGCAGTTTCGCAGCACGCTACCATCCCGGCTGAAACAAGCCTGGACGCTGTCATTCCATTATACAGAGTGAGCAAACTTGTCTCACTGCAGCCAAGTCGAATAGATACTGCAGTCTACGAGTGCGGACAGACAGCGACAAGGAGACAAGCAGGCACCGGGGACCTTATTAGTCTAGAGCGCAGCAGCTAGACCTAAGCCTCATGGGCTCCACATACCTAAATCCGTGCCACAGAAAACACCAGGCTCGGTCTCGGACTACAGATTAGCACTGCTCTTTTATAGCCACCTCTCTCAGAAGTTGGGCTTCTGGGACTGTTCTGATGTGCAACTCTACTGGAGATGGGTGCACGGACCAGATAAAGAAGACAGACGTTGAAATGATCACTACCTCCAAATGGGACAACCACCTCTGGACTCGCACTCACCCTGCACCGTTATTACCGCCTGCGAGCTGGGAGCAACTCCCTCGCAGATACAATTGACAAGCTGAATCTCTATTCTAATTCTAGTTTGTGCTGAACTGCCTGGCAACCTCTGGTCTAGAAAGCTATGGTTGCAAAAGTAATTTCAGCCAATGTGAACCAAGTCAGACTTTCCATCTGCCCAGATCAAACTGTCATCTGTTGCACCTCCAAATACTAGCGTGGAAATCAGCTGGATGCTGTAGAATACAAAATACTCCTGACACTGAGCGGCACCTGCAGTCAGCTGCCATCAGAAACCCTCTCTTATGTCTATACGTTCCCTTGATTGTTATGCCTACAATCAAGGGAACGTATAGACATATATATGCCTCTTCTGTGATAAAGCACCATTTCTATATGGAGCAATGCAGATACTAAAAAGAGGCATCTCAGAATTGCTCCCTGGTCGCAGTTGCTCACAAGAACAAGTCAGGACTCACCCAGATCGACACCTGGACAAGTCGAAGAACTATAAATTGACTCACTTTTCATTTGTTGGTTTTCCTGCTACAGTGAAAACAAATGGTAACTTATGCACAGAGGCCAAAGCAAGCGATACGGGAAGATAACTGTAACTAAGGTACCCCCAGAAACAGGCTTTTCTCAAAGATGCCTGCTTTCAACTTCACTTTTTTCTAACAGGATGTAATTAGAAACCACCACATTTAAATGGAAAACTAATTAGAAGCAACTCCAACCTGAATCCCCACACACATGATGTACAGCCAGTGCATTCATGCTCCACTCTTTGCAGCAGGAACATGGGAGACAAAATTCTTAATGGACTTTTTATTCCTTTTTCTTTGTTCTAGTCCCCTTCTGGCACTGGTACTCTTTTTAACCCCAGGAAAAGGCTCGTTTGTCTGCCCCAGCTGTGCAATCACTCAACAAAGATGGGCAGTTGTTGCCAGAGAATTCTCTTATGGAAGTATGAGAGGGTAAAACTGGCACAAGGCCAGGAGTCATTAAATTACACAGTGCAAGTGAGCAAAAGAGAGGTATGTAATGAACCATGGCTCTGATTTCTGCTGTCTCAGTGAGGAGACTTTAAGCTCCCAAAATAAAAATCTCAAAATGATGGTTCATCATCTTAATTGCAGAGGGAGATCTCATCTTACTTGCCGCAAAAGGTGGCAATATCCTGTTTCATCAGTGCGGGGAGACTGTGTGACAGTTCAGGGGAAGAAAGGGGGCAGAAAGGCTAACCATTTGTACAGCTCCATTTTAATTATTTAGTTTGGTGGCTGGCCCAAAAAATAGTGTATTGGCTTGGTGCATCACAAAAGCCTCTCTTATCACAAACTGTTTAAATTAAATTTAGCTAGATTTGATCTTGAAATGTTGCCAAAGCTCTCTTTAGACTATATCAAAGCAAACTTTTTTTTTAAATCCTTCCTAACCCTCCCATTTTGTCATGCTGAAACTATTCACCAAATTCAGCTTAAATCCATGAATAGCTGTGGTTGGCCTGAAGCCGTTTTAGGCTTTTGATTTGAATAACTTCACCCAGCTCTACTTCCAACACAGGTTGTCCCTTAAATACACCAGGCAGTTCCCCCGCGAGGCCCAGGAGAACGTGCAGGGATGACACAAGTTGGGGGAGAGGTATTTAAGAAGTTTTCTATCCCCGCGAAACAATCCAGAAGCCAAATTACCATTCTGTTCATGCAGAAGGCTCCAAGAATACCAGGCTGTAACTGATGTGTCAGAAGGAGAAAAGTACCCAATAAAATAATGGACTCTCCCTCTAACAGATACCGTCGCAACAGGAGCCCAATCTATAGCTGAAAACATCTGAGGGGATGATCTGCTGAAGGTCCAGCAGCTACTGAATATTGCCCTTGGGTTTGTTAACGGGACATTGAGTCAAGTTTAGAAATGGAGGCTTACTCACTGCAGGATGTGCATCTGTTTGCTCTTCCCTCAGCTGTTTCTCCTGGGCTGCTTTTAATTAGCACCATGGCTACCCTTCCAATCATACAAGTTAAGGGTTTCTACTCCATGCCCCCTTCTACCTTGTGCATTTAAGGTTGCGCTGCTGTATTTGCCTGCCTTTCATGCCCCCAGGCTCTCACCTGGGGCTCAGAGAGAAAGCTTACCCAGTGGGAATTAGAGGGCAGATGTATGTATGAGAAGGAGCTTCCACTAGAGAGAAGCTGACCCCTGCCAACCAGGAAAGAAAACTAATTCAAGGGACAGCAGAATATAAAGCAAATATACAGCTTGATCCAAGGATGGCCACAGAGGTAGCAGACCCAGAAATGTAATGAAAGATAACATGAAGAAATATTAGTGCAGGAACAGGAAAAAACAGGAGTTATGAGTATTGCAAGCGAGCCCAGAGAGTCCAGACAAGCAGCATACAGATAAAGCAGCTGTGACTACCCAGATCCCATAGTGAAGTAGAGGCACACTCACTAGCATGGACCTGCAGGCAGCACTTGGCACAGGATATTAAGAGGCTGGTTCCATCTTCACCAATGTAAGAGTTTGAAGGAAGGGGTTCTGTGTTTTCACCACTTGAAGTAAAGCACATCTCAGGAATCAGAGGCTTGGTCTTCTGTCCACACTTGGAAAGCTGGAGCAGGGAGGGGCTCTCTCCTACAGAGACCTGGACAGCCTCTTTATCCACCTGCAAAGACTAAGAGAAAAAGAAAGTGTTACCCAGTGTCTCCCCTTTACCCAACCACCAACTGGTCTGACCTCAAGACGAGAAGCCCCTGCCTTTGCGGAAAAAAATATCAATGCTTGCTGGGTAACACTGTTTGAAACCCTGCAGCGCTTGTAAGAACCCAGAGTTCCAGTTAAGCAAATAGGGAACCTTGTCACTCCCCCTCCATTCCAACCAGACATGGCCAGAGATTTGCGATGTGGTCTGAAAGCTCAGGAAATTATTAAAATAACAAGCTGTGTTCACTATTTTTATTTTGTAGACATACAAGCACACAACCAAATCCCCAAATGTTGCAGCTGAAAAATATCCCTCGCCCCTCCCAGACCAAAAGCAAGATCTCCCTCCCCCATCTCCAGGCCCCTGGCATCATTCCCTTGCTCTTTCAGCAAGATTTTCTCCAGAAGGGCATTTCAAGGTTTCTGGTAGCAAGCTGGAGTTAAAAGACAATGGATTAAAACAGCCCAGCTGTACCCACCTCTCCTTACAATCCATTATACAGCTGCATCCAGGCAATCCTGGAGACAGACTTTATTCTGATGATGGAAAATAAATCAGGGCTCTTTTTTAATTCATTCACACACACATCTGCGCACAAACACACCCCCCTAGTGAACCCAGAGAGCTATATCTGGATCCAGGTGCATGAGATTGCTAATGCAGGGCTGAAGTGGCACAGAGCTGGACAAGTAATTATATCACCTTATAAATGTCATCCTCCTGCTCATGGGATATACCTGGGGGCAAAATGATAATGCCCCAAGGATGTTGTTCAAATGTTGTGGATAAACTGTCACTCAGTGGGGGGGACAGTTGTGGGTAATAAGAAGTTCAGCTCTGGTGCTTCCATAATGCTATTCTGAAATTTGCTCGAGGTCAACCACTCGAGCACCGAGGGACAGCAGCTCACATGAGGGTGAATGTGGCTGGAGCCCTTGAACAACAGCTATACTAAAGTAATATTTAAAAACAATTCATCCAACTCTTCCAGGACAGCAAGAGGCCTGACTCTTGGTTTTTTTATTCTCAAGATTTTAAAACAAAGGCAGCAGACAGCTTATCTTTGAGTAGCAGTCCTTGGAGAAAAGAGGTTATATACAAGTAACTGGAGAAGTTCAAAGAGGTACATTTAATGCGAGTAAAAGCCTCTTTCAAATCCTAGTCTTTCTGCACACCTTTTGGAGTGTGCATTGCTAAAACTATGCAGCTGTGTACAAACTCATACATGACCTACATGAGACTACCTGTGCAATGCCGCTGCTGTCTTGTATACAGTGCTGTCTCTGGTGTACATGAAAGCCCAGCAGTGTAATGCAGATTAATATATGGCCCCATAAATCACCACGCAGCCTAAATGTGTCAGTGCATCACCTCTGTTTTCCAATCCCCTTGAAACATCCAGCGTCAGTGTTTACACCAAGAAGCACCGGACACATTCAATTATAGGGACCAGATATGAAGTGTATGAAAGAATTTACATTGAGAGTGGAGAGCTCTAAAGAATTTGGGGTGCCTTCCTGTCCTAGGTACTTATTTATAAAGCATGCTTAATGCGTGTTGCACAATTAGATTGGGTTCCCTTTGTTTTGACAGGCAACTACCATAGCCAAGAAAATTTACATCTTAAACTGAAGTTCTCAGAAGTTTAAAACCCAGAAGTATTTTTTGGCAACTGAGGAAGGGTAGATGTGCCCAGCAAACATGTCAAGGTATTATTGCTTATTTACTCAAATGACTGGAAAATTAAATGCAAGTTACACACGCACATTTATATTAGCATCTCCTTTCTGGTGCCCTGTGTAATGTGCCCTGTATTACATTAAACCTAGGCTCCAATGCACACATTTCTAAAACAAAGACCAACACTTTTACTCTTGATAGCGTAACCGAAGTGTGACACCTGCCTACAGCAGCCTGGAAAAAATGGGAGAATTCTGTAGTATATATTAACAGTTCAGTAGCATTTAGTTTGGTCTCTTCTCGGGTGCTCTGCAACCGCTCTCATCAGCATCTTGTGGTGGTAACTCACCTCTCTAGTTTCAAACAACTGAAATTAAAGGTAGAACCGGAATACGGGCATACGGGAGAGATCCAGGCAAAATCTTCATCCCATCAGCCAGCATGCACCAGTAATAATGGAGGTTACATTGCCTTGGGATCCCTGATTTGTGCCTACTCAGCTGGAGAAGCTGTCGATCTCCAAGCATTGGTAGAGAAGTGGAAGGAGGAAGAAGAGGATATCAGCCAGCTTTTGGGGGTTGTTTTAAGCAAAAGGTGAACACAGGCACAATCCCAAAGTCTTTGAATACACAAATCAATAATACATCTCAGCTTCACATCTCCTGTCAGAGGATCTCGGAAAGCTTTGCACGTGAACTTTCAAGTCATTCCTCTGACATTTTGCAAATAATGGAGCCAAAGCAGAGATTAAATGATGTTCTGAAGGCCACATAGGAAGCCTGTGGCAGAGAAGAACAAGACCCATCTGAGCTTGGCCGAATATACCTGGCACATGAAATTTCTGCTGTACTGAAGTGAAATAAAAAATGAATGCCAGGAAAGACGAAAAGCCAAAGGTTCTCCCCATTTTTCCTGCTGGATCCTGATACGCCTCTTCAGCCTGCAAACCTGGGGTTCTTGTCTGTTATCTATCGCAATAAAGGGCTGAATCATAATACCGATGCTTTCTTTAGAGAAAGCAAACATAATAGTTTGATTAAAGTACCAACCATGCAGCCCCCTGCACTGACTCACCCATCCACAGCATCATCACAAATTACCTGGTTATATGGATAGAAGAGTGTACAGACTGCACAATATGGCTCACTCAGGGCAGCAGCTGCATTGAATTTTCTCTCAGCTGGGAAATTATGTACTTTATTCTTCCATTGGAGGGAAAGTAAAGACTTCAAAGCCTCTGGGTCACTCACATCTTCCTCCCCAGAAAATGGAAATGTTTCTAGAGTAAAATGTGCAATGGGAAGACTCGTCAGTACAGACAAATAAAAAGCAGCAAGAGAGTGCAAAACAAATGCACTCCAGTGATACTCGGGAGAAGCAGAATAAAGAAGAACACTTAACTCTTCTATGGCACTTTTCATCTATAGGACTCAAAGCATTTTATAAATACATCTTTCAGCTCCATTTTAACAAGGCTGAGGAACAGCAATTGGCCTATCGAAAAGGAAAGAGGCAAGCTCTCATCCCAGTGCTGTGGCCACTGGGTGATATGGTTTCCTCAATTTAAGTCAAGGTCAAGATGATTCATACAGACCCAAGGAAATCTCCTTTTTTCAAGTGATAACTCCAGCTTCCAAGAAGTCACTTATGTAGCACACTCGTTTAACACACCACCAAGAGGAGTCTCCTAGTCTCCAAGAAGGGTCATCCAGTCCCCATTGCAGAGGGTCAACTCTGCGCTCAGCCACCATCGCACAGTGCATTTGTTGCCTGCCAATACAGGCATCGAGTCTGCCTGCAAAGCAACCTCCATCTGGGTTCTCCTTTACCCTTCTCTGCCACTATTCCCCATCTGCCTTTCAAGTGCTGTGCCTCAGCCTTACGTCTCCAACCATTTTTGCTTCCAGCAAAAGATCTATTAGGAAGCTGCTTATGCTGCTGCTTTGCTTTCACAAACTTCTGATCAGGGACTTGTGTTATATGATTCTCTGCGCACAGCATCCATCCATCCACACTACAGTTTTGTGGTCTAGTACCTAAGCAATTCAGCTTACTATTTCTGAATTGCTACAGATATAGGAAAACTCTGTGCGTGTGAACTAAGTGTGATGTGATGGTAGTGCTGTCAGTGTGCAAAAACCCTACAACACAGCAGCTCTGAGCAGCATAGGCTCCTATATGTGCCGAGGGAAAGAAAACCCCGGATCCCAACATAAAACTCACACAGCAGCATTGTCCATATTACTCCTGGTGATTATTTTAGCAGGAACATCTCACCGAGATGCTACTCCCGCAAGCCCATGCTGACCCTGTCCCCTTCCTTCATATGTGCTAAAGCCCCAAATGTCCCCTTCCTCCTTGTGACAGCTTCTGTAAATCTGTTTGCAGAATAAGTAGCTGAGACATGCTAGAAACAGAAGATTCAGGGCCAGAGTAAAATATTAATTTAATTTAACATTAAAATTAATACAGGGATAATATACTTGCTGTATTATTCATTTTCTGATTCCAATGAAGGCCTTTAACAAACATGCTGAATCTGCCTCAAGATCTCCAAGTCTACTGTACTGCAGTACCGCAAGACCCATGGAAGCCTTCAGTACACTGTAGACCTAATCTAACCTCAGACAACTTGAACCTCTGGCCACTTGCCTGTTTCATCCCATGGTGGAAATCCACCATGGTCTGCCTACTGTTCTGATGATTTGGAGAACCTGTTCATGTGAAGCCAATTTAATTTGAAGTTCTGGATATGCCATGTCTGCATCTTAATGCAAGCTCCACGTTGACTGTAAGGCTGCCCTTCGTCTCACTACTCTCTTTTTATCTCCATCTGAGTGCTGTCACATTAAGACCTCTGTCAGAGATTGAGCTACTGCAGATGATGGGCTACCTTCTAGCAAGAGAACTTATTCATCTGGGGAGAAGAGTTGCCTAGCCACTAAGGCACCTGGTAGAGGGTCACTGCTCACCTGCTGAGCCCGATTAGGAGGTAACATGGCAGAGGAGACAAGGGTTATAAAAGGGTAAGGGCTTTGGTTGTTCTCACCAGCTCAGAGGTAGCTGCCAAAGAAGCCTGATGGGGAGGGGTAAGTCCCATCTAACTGAATGCCAATGAACCTGCCCCCATCCCCAAGGGAAGGGTGAACTAGTGCTGTGCTGAGGACACCAGCTGTTTTCTAAATGATCTGTACACTCAGTCTTCTCACAGCCTGTCTATGTGCAAGTTTTATGAGCTACAGCATTCACATGCCATCAAAGTGGTAAACAGGAGACTTGAAGATCCAGAAGGTGCTGGGACTGTGCATGCTCTACTGAGAAAGTTTGGTGGAGCTGGAAGTGGTCTCTAGGCCCAGTTACTTGGACCATCAAGAGGAACATCAAATGCACAGTATGCACCTGGACTGCCTGCCTAGAACCCCATACCAGGGCCAGTGCTAGTGCCTAACCCCCACCCAGCCTTAGCGAGCTAAGAGAATATGGCATTCCAGTGTTTGGATCCCCTCTCGGTCGTCTAGCGAATGTCTAGCAGGGGGAGCTCAATTAGCTCTATGGCAGATGCTGTCCCAAGATTCTGGAAAATGCTGACTCTAGTATTCCTGGCATGTACCAATGCAGTATCCCCTCTCGCAAAGGCTGCTTTACCCAATGCAGGCCACAGGAATGACACAGCTGTAAAAGAAAGAAACCTCCTGGGTGGTGAAAAGTAAGCTCGGGCCAGACATGTCAAGCTGAACTTGGCTACGTGATAATGACTCTGTAGGCAGGTGACAAATTTCTGCTTTGCCAATCGATGGAGCTGTTTAAATAAAACCACACTGCCTGCTGTGCAAGCCTCTCAACTGTACTAGCAGCACATCTCTAAACTGGAACTGAATCATTTGATTGCCAACACCACTCTCCCATGTTCTCCCATGACCTTGTCCCCAACACTTCCTATAAATTGAAGTCTCTCTACCCAGAGGAGAGAGAGAAGCAAGCAAGGGTTTAAGTGCTCAGCATCGCTTCCTTACTCACAAAGGTACAGGACATTCAGGGCACAGAAATAATACCCAAGGCACAGATCTCTATTATTAAACATCTATACTGCAGGCCAACCTAGTGTCCTCAACCAAGTCTGGACCTCACTGTGCTCAGCACTACGCTAACCTAACTCAATGCCAATATTCTCCTTTCAAGGCAAACTGGCTGGTCTATGGAAAGTACCTGAGCATTGGACACAGGCTGTTCTACAGTACTACAGGCACTCCCATTAGGATCAAGGACTAGCAGAGATAACCCAACCAGCAGACAGAAGCGAGGCATCCCTTTGAGGCAAAGCCTTCTGCTGGCCTCAGCCTCAGCTTGACTGTTGGGTACTAAAGGTTATGAACAACAGCTCTGTTCAAAGGATCTGAAGCTAGGAAGGCCCAAGCAGCTCTATAATGTTACCAAAAGAGGTAGGAACAGCTAGAAATAAGCTCAAGGAATGTAAATTCAATCAGAAATCACGGGCAGGAAACCTCATCTTAAAGTTAGGGAAACTGAGACAAGGTTCATTAAATATAAGAGAAAGTCAAAAGCAGATTCAAAACTAAAATGAAGTGTATTCCTTTGCTCTCCTACAGAGTGTGCTGCTTCTGCTACAAATTTATAAAGGAAGTTTCACAGTAGCAACTTTTGTTAAACACGCCCCAAAGTCAATGCTGTGCACAGGCTAGACAAGAAGTAGCCAACCAGCAAGTGGCACGGACAGCCTGCGTGCAAGGTGCACAGTAAATTGGGGAGGGGAGAGATGGCACAGTGGCAGATTTGGCAGGGGAGAGGGATCGGAGTGGCACTCAAGAAGACTGCAAGGGTAATGTGTGGCATGCCTGCCAAAAGGGTTGACCCTCACTAGGTTAGATCCACAATTTCAAAACATGCCTGCAATTCTGAGTGCGCAGACCACAAGAGTTAAGCCTGGTTTTCAAGCAGATTAAAAGCCTGATTTTCTCCTCCTTGTCCCAAGCACAAGGAACCTATTCAACACTGAGTTCTCAGAATCCAGGCACCATTTTCCTACCAGCTAAGTGAAACATGTACGAGTTTTGGGCCATCACAGAAAATGAGGGTTGGAAGGGACCTCAGGAGGTCACATCTAATCCAACCTCTGGCTCAAAGCAGGACCAGACATAACTAGATTATCCCAGCCAAGGCTTTGTCTAGCTTGGTCTTAAAAAACTCCAAGGATGGAGACTACACCACCTCTCTGGGTAACCTGTTCCAGTGCTTTACAGCAGTGGTCTCCAAACTTTTTTGATCGCGCACCCCATCAGTAAAAAATTTTTGAGCACGCACCCCCAATATATGTATATTTATATAAATAGAAATAGAAGTTCTAATATTTTCTTCCTGCACCCCAATGGATCGTCTTGTGCACCCCACTTTGGAGACCACTGCTTTACACTGCCTCCTTACTTCTAACCTAAACTTCCCTTGAGACCATTGCTCCTTGTTCCGTCATCTGCCACCACCAAAAACGTCCTCTTTGAACCCCCCTTCAGGGTGTTGAAGACTGCTATTAAATCCCTCCCTAAGTCTTCTCCTCTCCAGACTGAATAAACCCAGTTCCCTCAGCCTCTCCTCTTAAGTCATGTGCCCCAGCCCCTGAACCATTTTCACTGCCCTCCGCTGGACTCTCTCCAATTTATCTACATCACATCTGGGTAGTGGGGGACCCAAAAATGGATCCAGTACTCCACATGTGGCCTCACCAGTGCCAAATAGAGGGGACAAATCACTTCCCTCCACTTGCTGGCAACACTTCTACTAATGCAGCCCAGCATGCTGTTAGCCTTCTTTGCAGCAAGGGTATGCTATTGGGTCATTAGGGCACACTGCTGGCTCATCATGCTATGTTAATGACCATCTCTAGCAATATTTCCATGCATGAAAACCAGTCTGTACACGGCTGTAACCTACACACAAAGCTGGATTCTGCATAGCCATATGCACTCACCCTCATCACTTGATGCCTCCTGCTTAACCACAGAGAGAGGGGAACGGGTTGGTGGTTTGCCTAGTGGATGGCGGCGACTTTTCTTTATCTCCATCTTCATCTTTGAGAAAGCAGCAGCAGTCTGAAATAAATTAGAATAAATTACATAAAAGTCCCAGAGTCTTACAGGGAAAGCAGAGCAGCAGAAGCAAAATGCAGTTAACTTCTCAGGCATTTAGCCCACACAAGAAACTCCTTGCTGCATTTGGCAAGGATCGACAAGGACCTCTCCAAAAAAGTGACTGTGATAGAGAATGCCAACACCATCTCATAAAATCATGCCAGGCTAAAAGGTAGGTTACAATGTTTTTCTCTTAACCGGGGTAGATTCAGAGCCAGTCCAAGTCTGCCACTTCTACTAGTCTCTGAACAGTTTGGTCAGTCAGCACACTGTCAGCATTTCCACTGAAAACCTCCATGTAAAAGAAAATCTACTTTGGGTTGGAGTTTCTGCTTCGGCGCTATAAAAACCTGGGAGTCAATAACCAGAATATCTAAACTGAATAAAATCTGCAGGTTGAGACGCTGAAGTTATTGCAGGGAAATCTGCTCCTCTTCTCCATTCCCTGGCCGAGAAGACTTGTCTTTGAAGATGCGTGCGTGCATGCACACTCAGAACCTAACACAATTAATTTCTGCCATCCACTATGGAGGACACTAATGCTTTGTCTGCACTAGAGAAAACAACTGAAAATTAATGCTCCTTCATTTGTGGGAAGTGCTCTTTTGTATCAATAGAGTTGGTACATTGTAGCCTGGTGATGATTCAGGAAATCCAGGGAAGGCAAGGGGGTTTCTATGGGCCAACTGCAGAGGTGAGAAGTAGTTAAACAAAATGTATTGCATGTAAGGTTACATTTGAAACAATGCTAATGCAATCAAACTGGACACCCCACCCACTGCTCTACACAGCAGTCACCAGTGCATCGGCCACTGCAAAACTGGCTTCTGTGATCACCTTTCTGCATCCTACTGGGCACAAGTTTGCTTCGCTGGAAGTCACCCACCCATACAAAACTAGGGTTTCACAGACTGTTACAAGCCATTTTTAGAGCAGCGATCAAACAACTTTAGATAGAGTGATTCATCTCAAAACTAACTGCAATTATTTGGTTTTCTACTGCTGAGTCTCTGGTTGACTTGCACTTCCCCTTCACCTTGTGGGGAATCAGCAGGGCCCAACCAACAGGAAACACAACGCAGGAATGTCAAGCTTGCTTAAACCGCTAACCCCGTCGGCATCAGATCACCATAAGCTCAAGGGCAGTAGAAGGGACTTCAAACAAAGGACAATAAAAGCCAGTGGGCACCACTCTACCCAGGAACTGTACAAGATCTTTAGCACAGAGTCCTTTGTCCTAAACCAACCTGTTTATAGACGGCACCGGGGTTCTGAAACAAAAGAAAGAGAGCTGCTGAGATGACAATGACAGCCAGAACACAAACTCAGCACGTGTTAGGTGAGCTGGCCTATCTGCAGCACCATTTTCAGTGATGGCAACATATACATAGGGGATAGGGTTGGCCTTGCAAGATGAGAACTAACAAGGATCGACCCTCCATAGCTGGCACCAACTAAGACCCCTTCATAGTAGTTTGGGGAACTTACTTGGGATCCACATGGCTGCTGCCACTAGCATTTATAAGAAGGCAGATACAGCTATGACAGTGGAAACATCTATATCATCCTCTACCCCTTCCTAAACGTGACCTTGCTGGCACGTACCTGTAAATCACTGGCCTCTGTGGCAACCTCAGCATTTTCAGCTTCTGCACTCTCCTCTTCCTTCACGGGAAGCTCTCCGGGAACAGTCTGCTCCCGCCAACCCAGGCCCTTCTGCGTGGCGAACTGCTCAAAGGCCTGCTGGCAGGACATGCGCTCTTTGTCAAACACCACCTTTTTGGTCCGCGGAACCACATAAAGCATGGGAATGATGGGCCGGGGCTTAAAGTCATCTACCTCGTTTGGCACTTCCGAGGGCTGGATGACGTTGAGGGGCACGGGGGGCAAGCTCTTCTCGGCTGTGGCTGCTGCTGCTGCTGCTACGGGGACCAGCGGCCGTGCTGGTGGTGTCTCTTCCTCTGCAGGCTGCTGTGGTGGTGGAGGAGGGGGAGGTGGAGGTGGTGGTGGAGGCTGCTGTTGCTGCAGTGGAGGCGGGGGTGGCTGCAGGTGGTGGTGGTGGTGGTGGTGGTGATGATGAGGATGGTGGTGCTGATGGAGGTGATTCTTCTTCTTCCTCTCCCCTTTTACTTTCGGGGGACGGGTCTTTACCTTGCAGTCTCCTGTTTCAAGTAAATGACAAGATTGAACAGATCATGCTGAAGTTTCTGGACGCTTTCTTTCATTAATTATTCCCTGTTACAAATGAGATCAGGGTTGACAAAAGGTGCCAAACTAACAAGATAAGCAGCAGAAACTTGCATGAAATAGGTACAGCACACTGGCTCTACAAGAAGCCCTTCACTTGCTCTCTGCTCGGACTTAGAAAATCCATTTCTAGAAATTAGGCTTATTTTGTCCCTGCGGCCTATTCAAACCTTGACCTGTCTGCTAAGTACACCTACGTGAAGGTCAGGTGTGACAGAAGACAGCTGTCCACTGCAAACTAGATGGAGAGGCTCACGGCACGTACTACATTAACACTGCTAAGACACACAACTCTTAGTCACCCAGCTAGGCAGAAACACTGAAGCCCCAGAGTCCAGGTTGACCAAGTTACAGCACTTGACAAGAAGATTAAGGAAAAGGCACCGCATCTTCTCCTAGGCAATAGCAAAGGTTTTCTCATTTGCTTTACTATTCAGCAAAGATAGCAATAGATAGGAAAAGCCAATGTACCCCCTAAGAAGTCCTCCCCATACATTTCAATTCTTACATCTGAGCTAACTTTTTTGGGAAATAGGCCCATTTGCCCTTAAAATCACACAATCAAGTCAAACGTGAGTCTAGACCACTTCCTTAATGACCAGGTCACAACTCTAGAGGCAAACACACAGTGCTGCACTGGCACACTGAAACAAGAAACCCAATCTGTATTCAGAAGATTTCTATATCCTGTTTTATACCCTTACCCCCCAAGCCACCTTCATTTACTGCTCCCCCCACATCCAAGCACTGCTGTGCGCAAGTGTTACTGTATATCCAATGCAGTCAACAACCCTGGGAAATGAAGAATTGAACCAAACCTTCTAAATCACTTTTTACCGAATAGCATCTGCTGCAAGGTCTTTAGAAAGTGGCCTTTAAAACATGAATCAAGCGCAGCATTGAACCAAGTCTATTACAGGCACCATCTCGGTATTGGCAACTGCAATGTGAGTTTCCACCGCTTGCTTTCATCTGTCCTTCCCCCTCCCGGCTCACCACCATTCATTTTATCTGCATACTGTCACATCTCTCTTATGCAGTGGTGACAGCACACGAACTTCTTGGGCAGATGAATGCCCCAATATTTTTCTATCGAGATGGGGATCACCCATAAAACAAAGAGACTTTTTCTCCTCTCTCCCTACCAGCCCTCCCAATATAACCCCGTAAAATAACCGGGCCAATTTGATTTCAGAACGCTCCCCAACCATTGTGATTAAAATTCCTGCAGGCCCTTGAGTAAGCATCGCTGGGTCAGGACGGAAGACGCCTTGCCTGTTTCCCTTATTGCGTCGGCAGTGAATTATGTTCCCTATGCCCACCCCTTCCCCCACTTCATGAATAAAGTTATCAGTCCACTCAAAGGAAAGTAAATAATAGATGTACCACAGACAGATGCCAGCCCTCAATTTGTTTCATAAGAGATTGTTTTTCACCTATAGATGCGGCAATTGGATGGCTCTACTGCAAAAGGTCACTCTGTCCACTAATAAGATGGGGAGAGAGGAGGGAGCTGATGATGCAGAAGGAGACAGACGGACAATGTCGCTCCACTACACCCCAGCTCCATCTGCCACTAAGGCCTAGCAAATCTTATAGGCCAGGCTCCACACACTGCAGAAAATCAGATAGCCTACCACAACATAATGCGATAATCAGTAAAAGTGATTATAGCCCGAGTAAGATGAAGTGCTAGAATCCCTGCTGAAGTGTTTTTTGGGGGGGGGGGGGAGATCTGAATCTGGACAGTTCCCAGAAGTGGGATCGGGGGGGCTTATTCATACTAATTTATAAAAAAAAAAAAAAATGGCAATAAGGCTGGCCCAAATAGTTATTGTCGTATTTGTGTAAGCCACACTTCGGGTAAACTGGTTTGTAGTATCGCACAGAAAGGAATATTGAATTTCCTTGGAGAAACAAACATATTGAATGAAAGTCAAATTGGATTTCTCCCCAGTCACACAACAACAGATCATATTTACTCTCTACACACACTGAGAGCTCTCTACCCAAACAGCAAAGCAAACGCCATTCACTGGCTTTATTGACTTCTAAATGGGCTAATTTGACAGCAGCTGGTAGCCAAGACTTGTTTAAAAGTTTAAGTGCTTCGATGATGAAAGATCTACTTTACAGGTATATCTGTAAAACGTGAGAGAGATACAAAGCCGGGCTCCAGGGAAATGGTGAGGACAGATCTGAAGGAGAAGTCTGGCCATCATGATTGCCTACACATGTAGAGAAGTGCCTTACTCTTTATTAAATAAGCTTACCCTGTATGGCAGGTTAGCAGGACCACAGGCAGCTATTTACTGATGATCTGAACAGCATGACAAATACCTATAGAAAATAGTTTAGAAATGCAGAGATGGTTTTGGCTTTATATACGGAGACTGTCTGGGGTGGGGGCAGTTTGAAACTATACATCAATTTTCAGAGGCTGCAGGTGACCAGTACCTCTGGAAAAAATACTTATACTGAAGCTGAGTAACTTTAAACATCCAGCTTTAAAACCACTGCTCACAGAGAGCAGAGATTTCATCTGTTACTAAGGAAAAACTACAGGCTCAAGTGTCAGTACTCACAGAGAAGATAAGGGACAGAAATTAACAGCAGCAATTAAGCAAACTTCAGTTGAATAATTTGTATTGTCGATGATTTAGAAAGTAAGGGATTGTAAAACAGACCTCTTAATCTAGCAGCAGAGTGATCATGGATGCAGTAGAGAAATCAAAGCTAGGAGAAATCTAGCAGGTCCAACTCCAGAGCACCCCCAGCCCCTAAAATGGCACAACTCTCCGGAGTGGGTTTCTAGCAGTTGATCCAATCCAGCTTATGTATTTCAAGCACTAGGGCTTTTCCCCATCAATCTAAGAGACACGTGAATAATTCTACCATCACAACACTTTTCTTAATATTCATCGTATATTTTCACTGTCTGAATGTCATCCCATTACCCCCATAGTATGACGCTGGCCCTAGGCGAATGAGCCCTACTCCTCAGATCTCCTTTCTTGGCACCATATCCCAAAGAAGCACAAGACAAGATGGTTCACGGGCATGAATTCAAATGCAACACACACCCGGGTCTGTAGTGGCTGCATTTAAAGTGGTACAAAATACAACACACACACACACACACAGGCATTACAAGGGGCACCCATTGCTACATGGGTTGCATTCACGCTGTTCAGTGCTTTCAGAGAGGAGCAGAGCTGGAAGGTTCTCCCTGGAAATTGCTAGTCCCAAGGCAACCTGCTATGAAATTCTCACCGCATTAATACTGGCACGCTATATTATGAACATAAAGCTTAGTCAGAAAAGGCAAAAAAGAAAACGCTGTAAAGTATCTGGTGAGAAGCCCTTAAAGCTTCAGTCACTAATATTCAGCATGTCCAAATCAACAACATGAAACACTTAATTCTTGAAAGCTGCCAGTGATTTCGGAAGGATCCTGCTTTTCCTTCTCCCAGCACCTTTTGGTCTTCTTTTCTGGGATAAGTGAAAAACCCCTTTTAAGGAAAGGCGAAACCCAAGGTAAAACGAAAGGAGAGGGGGAAGGAGGAGGGAAGATAACATGCAACTCAGAGATAAGCAGCCAGGTGCTATCTGCAGACTTGCAAACTAAAAAGTGGTTAGTAGAAAGCCGTAAATAGGTTGAGGAAAAGAATGCAGATTCTGCCTCGGCCTGCGAGGAGACTACCAAAACCACTTCTGCTTAGCTTTTCCATACTGCCTGGAGAAAACAGCCCATTTCTGATGGGCCTTATCAGCACTGGGGCTCGCAGAACTACACCGAACACCATATAGCTTCTCGTCGCACTTTCTGCAATGGTGCTGAAAATGGGTTTGTGCCTTCTCTGCTACCAGTTAAGCAGTTTTCCACATCAGGACTAAGTGTGTGATTTAAAATCTGTTCAGCTAGAACAAAGCTATTCTTTTCTCCCCTCTTCCATTCTAAGGATCTCAGATCTGTCCCTGCCACTTATCTCTTGCCTCCCAGGAGATATCAGCATTTTCAGACCATTTATTACAGCAGTAACTGTTAAACTCATACACGAGCTGAGAGTGTACAGTTTAATGCACTGCTGGCACTTTCAAGATGGAGTGATAGCAAGTAACTGTTCTCCTGTGCTGTTCCTTCTCCATATGCCAATAATCTACATATCCTCCTCTCCCTTGAAGGCAGAAGGCACATTGTCTGGTTGATAAATCGCTGGACTGAGTCAGGAAACTGGGTTATGTTCCAAAGACATATGGTATGACCTTATGTGCCATGACCTTTAAACTTTGCCTGCCCCGGTTTCCCCCAGACATAACTTGGGAACAAAGGGGTATAATAGGATATGAATATTAGTTAACCAGTGGTTTGGAATGCCTCAAAGGGAAGGTATCTATGTGCAGGTTATTCTCTGCACTGTATATAGTGCAAAAAAAGGGCATAGGAAGCAAGAATTACAACCTTCAATACAGTGCTAAGAGGCAGAGCATCCTAGTGACATCACAGAGCCTCTCTACTGGGAAGAGCTACAGATCTCTGTATGGTGACAAGGGCTTGGTTCTTCAGCAGCACGTACCAAAATATTGTGTGTCACACCTGGAGAGAAACTACAACATACTCGTCACAAACCAGGACATGCCCTGATCTATGACAAGCCTTCTTTATACTTCACTCTTCGCATGGTGCCTTTCATCTAACACTCAAAGCGCTTTGCAAACTCTACTCAGACTCGTCCTAGAAGGTTAATAAGTACCATGGCCAGGCCAAATCTGTGCGAACCAGCGGAGAGGTGTTGTGTGATCTGCTGAAGGTCAGACCATAATTCAATACCGGATTTAAGACACAGTCCCACGTTAACTCCCAATCCATACGCCACTTAGAAACTTCCTCTCTTTAAGTGAAGTGCAGGACCTGTGCTAGAATTGTGCACACGCAATAAATTATACACACACAGTGGGGCTGCCACAGACTTGTGCTAATTCAAGCACTCAAAGCCAAATTTGAAGTCTCTCCTCCAGCAGAATGACTTCAGTCAAATTTCTACTCCTATTTGTACAGCAAGTGAAAACTTCACATACGCAAAAGATAGCTTTATGCAGAGGAGGAGGGAGAGGAGAGAGATCTATTGCCCATGGGAATATATAAGGCATACCGCTCCCAGAGAAGGGCACAGCAAACATATTTATTCATTCCTTTATGAAATATTTAAAAAAATATTCCTCCCGTAATGTATATTTTTACAAAACTGTAATAGCTCTGGCAAAACTTCCAAGCCCTGCACAGAAAGCTATTTGGCCTGAATTGTTAAAGAGAGGGGAAAAATCAATCGTGGCTGTACATGATGGCGTATTTCAGTAAGTACAGGTTTAATATTGGGAAAGAGTCCACCGATCTTTCCATGGGAATAAACAACACTTGACAAATTATTTACAAATACGTTCTGGAGACGCCGCTTGCCCCATTTCTCTGTTTAAATGATCTGTCATCAGCAAGCAAGGTCCTCACCTTCTCCCCCTTCCGTCGCTTTACTTTTTTCCTCTTCATCTACGTCTGGCCCTCTTTTCAGCTCCTCTTTTACTTTCACCTCATCCAAGGCAGTCTCGATAGCCATGACTTCTCCGAGGGACTTCTGATCTTCTGTTTTATGCCTTCTGGGTTGGCTTCTTTTCCTGTGAGACCTGGAAGGGCAGAGTAAGGATCTCCACTAAGGAACAGCCCTGAGTTTTTAAAACAAATCACACGTCCTAAAAGAACTCAACATTGCAATCAAGGACCAACCTGGGAGAAAGAACAAAAGTTACCTAGCTATGTCCTATGCCATTGCAGAGGCAGAATAGACATCTTAGAGGAGATGGGCAAGCCAGACGCAGACCGTCTAAGGTTCATTCCCAACATTCAGGAAAGAAGTTTAGTTCTCTCTGAGGTCTGCACAAAGATTTGCACCAATGCTAACACAAACTGCCCGTGCTATGCAAACCTTTGATAGAAGCAGCCAAAAACATGTTACCCTCTCCTCCTTCCCTTTCTAGGTGCCTTAGCCTCTCTACAGAAATCTGATACTCTGCCAAGGAGCGTGTTCCAGCTCTCGGGCATCATCAAGTGCTGCCAAATTTTTGACTTAGGCCATTCACTAGTCAATACAGGTAGCCTATGCCTTTCTGAGCTGATAATGTCACCGTAACATAATTCAGTAAGTCAAAGAGTGACCCAAAGACTAATAAGAAGGGCAGGTGTTAGTGTCATATTGACACTCGAGACGTAGCAAAACACCACCCTTAATGACAGTGATTTTGAACAACACTGATCAAATCCAAAGTGAGAAAACTACAGAGAGCAGCACCCAGGATGATGGCAAGGGAGATCCACTGAAGTGAGGGAGCCCTTCCAAGTTAGGAGCCACTTGTACATTTTATCTAGTTTTAAGAATGCCATGGTCAAGTAACTATCTGAACTCCAGGTCCAGGGTAAATGAAACCCTTGATCAGCAGAGATGGATTCAGAAAACTGCAACCTTCATCCTCATTTTTAGCATGCAGCGACTTCCATATGGTCTCCACATTCTGTGCCATTACATCTGCCATACCATAATGAGGGAATGCTGTGCCATCTTCTACCACTTATCTGCCTCAGAGTCCTAGGGAGCTGGAATCCAGCTTCACACCCTCCACACCCATCTAGAAACTCAGCTCCTAATTAGATCTGGAGTAGAATGAAGTTAACAGACCCCTTAATGAAGCAAAAAACTGAATAAGGGGGGTGGGGAAAATCCAACAACCTGCAAAATAATGAATAATTAATAGAGAAGAAAAATTAATCCACAAGCATGGTAATTTATAATTGCTAGACTCTAACCATATGGTTGCCCTCTAAGTATAGATGTTTACTTCACACCTGCAAGACATTCATTAGCAGGCACACACAGCTGAACTGAGAAGCATCAGCTTTTCTCCCCACCAAGGTCCTAAAGATGCACCACCTTTTCAGAGGCAAGGCGAGCAAACAACTTTTCTTTAAACTTTCTGGAGTCGGTAAAGGAACTAGAGTAAGATGCAGTGTTGGAGGCTATTTTTAATAAAATACTTTACTCCGGTTATCCACAAGCAGAGCACAAAGGTTTAAACTTGTAAGAGGTGCAGGGGAACCTCTCCAATGCCTCTATCGCTTTGAAGCTGAAGGGATCGCAGCAGGCAGGAGAGGGAGCGCTCAACAGGTGAAGCTGCATTTCTAGAGCTACAAGTACACAGATCCATGGTAGTAGAAAGAGGAGATGATGCTCTCTTGCTTGGGCATGACTGCAATATGAGAAATGGGCTGACTTCCTGTGAAGTGGATTCAAGGCTTTTGGCCAAAGCCATGGGCAGAGTTGATCTACACTGCCTTATTAAGTTAAGGCAAGCTTCCTATGAGTTCAAATGTCTTGCAGAAGCAGACATGTAGCCCATTAAATGCTTTACAAATTTAGGATTTGGTAAATGAAAACCCCAAAAAGGCACCACCACTTCTTTTTTTAGGACAGATTGCAAAGTGACCTAACAGAAGTAGTTAAAATCACAAAGAGTTTTGGACAAACACATACCGAACAAGATAAACCTCAGCCTGGTGAGGGAAGTCAGAGCGCTCAGGCAGAATTATTTAATTCCAAGAGCTGTAAACATATGGAGAATGTGGCTAACTGAGGCCATCGAACCAAGGAACGTATACGTGTTCAACAGCTTGAAACCTGCTTCAGGGCAATTCTGGAATAATCTAGGAAGCAATGAGCAGAGCAGACTCCAGCGGACGAGCAGACAGGCCTTTTACAATAGTCAAGATTAACAAAGGGACTTCGCTGCTAAGCAATAAGCTTCTAAAGGGACAAAAAAACCGCACTGTGTGTTCACATGGGGTTTTACACCTTCATATGCTACCAGGACACAAAGTAACCGACTCTCTTGGAAAGCAAATGTCATCCCTGATCTTCAGGCACAGGAAACAGAGAGTAAGTAACCTGCTGAAGGTCAGCAAGGCAGGCACAGGCCAGAATTGAACCCCTGCCCTCCAGGAGATCCTACTGCCTTTCCTGGAGCTTGCAGGGGAAGAAAGACTGAAATTATTTCAGGAAGAACAGCTCTGAAATAAAGCAGTACTTTAGGATCTTCCTATACATGGAGGAGGCAGTGAGAGACACCCCTCCCTGCCTTCAGCTCTAACGTAACAGACCTACATGTTATGGCACGTAGGAAAACGGGGTGCATAAATGAGGCAAAGCTACATCAAGGTACTGACAACTATGTGGACCTCCGCTAATGAAGAGCTATACCAGGTCAGCAATCTTTTTGGCTGGAGTGCCAGAGGCAGACAGTGGGGGAGTGGTGTGGGACCCAATCCGCATTCTTGGTGGCAAGTGCATGCATACCTGCAGGTGGATGGCAGGGGAGGGGCTGGGCTTGCACTGGCTTGGCCCCTTCCACACTGTGCACAGAGGCACACATGCACCCACCACCCCCACAGAGCCAGTGCTGGGGCTCCAGAAACTGGTGCAGCTGTTTGGAGCCTGCCTGCTGCAGATGCCCAGAGCTCAGGCCACCTGTGGCAGGCAACTGGGAGGCTGCAAACAGCTGCACCGGGGGTCAATGCCTCGGGGTGCATGGCCAGGAAGGTGTGTGGGGCAGCGCCGTCTCAGTCCCTTTCCTGCTGTCCACCCGGAGGCACACATGCAGTCACTGTCACTGAGCCCAGTCGGGTTTCCAGACCCTGGTGTGGTTGTTTGCAGCCTCCCGGCTGCCTGCCACAGCCAGCCCAGGCTCTGGGCTGGTGCTGCCTGCCACGAAGCTCCGGCAGCATGCAGCAGGGTTTGCAGCCTCCCAGCTGCGTGCTGCAAGCAGCCCAGGCTCTGTGGCCAGCAGTAGCTTCCCAGAGCCCTGGCCAGCTGTGGCGTGCCGAGCAAAATGGCCTTGCATGTTATGCTCTGGCACATATGCTGGGGGTTGTCAACCCGTAAGCTATAAGCTCGTATCAACACGTGCAACCTCTTTCTTCCCAAGGTGCTGTAATACCCAGATTTAAGATATCAGGCATGTTTACCAGGTCTGCAGTTTTGAAGCACTCCTCAAGTGCCCTACTGAAGTTGGCCTCAGGTATGCAAAGTCAGCCTAACTCCTCATTCCAGTTTTAAGAACGTTATAGGCCTACTGGGATTATTGAAAATTAACACCGCCAACAGTCTATTAAAATTTCAATTGAAATAAGGCCACCTGTGGAAAAGGTCCATCACCTAGATGAGAGGGGAACAAAATCAACCTGTGCATTTGGAGCAAGTGTTGCAAAGGAAAAGCAGAAGAGAGGGGCAGAAAAACAGCACAGGCTTACCTTACATGTGGGCAAATTGGAACTTCTATTGCGATTCAATTTTGTCTTTATAAAGATTTTTCTTCTTAAAGCAAGCATGACGAAGGGAGAAATGGCTCTCTTTCCAGAACCTGTTTGCTTCATCTATTGGCAGCCGATTTATAAAACCTTCTAATCCAATTAAACTTTTTGGAATGCGGCAGCTGTTTATTGGCAACCCGCTCTGTTGACCAATTAGCTTTAGCCACAATCAATTAACCATTATGCAAATACCACATCTCAGCAGCATCTTCACTAGCCGAGGTTTATTCAGCACATCAGCTGCACATATAAGAACAAGAATTAGTATGAGAGACATTTGGCTCCCAGAAAGCCTTTCGCCTGACACAGACAGAAATTAATACCAGTAAGAAATCAAGTGAAGGTTAAACAAAGGCGGCCTCACAAATCCCATGCCTGGATATCCTCCATGCCACTAGGAGAAGACATGAGTCAAATGCAGAATTCAAGACATAGCTTTGCAAGGATAAGAATGGTGTTGTTAAAACAAAAGTGATGTAAATAAGCCAGAAAAATGTCTTTATATTTAATATAGCTATTTACCCACAGGTAAAAGGGAGTAGGAGAAGAGTTACAGCTAAGAGTGGAAAACAACAATCAGTATGGAGGGATAAATGACATAAGGTCACTGGAATCAAGAGAGAAGAAGACACTCACAGGATTCGGGAAATTGGCCCTGTGCCGTAACTAGAGGGCAAAAATCAGAAAGCCGACCAGGAAAATTGTCTTTCCATAAAACAGACTTAATTTTGATCAGATTATTCCTATTACTATGCTACTGAAATAGCAGGCAGAGCAGGCAAAACTGAAGAATGGTAATCAAGCTCCTAGGAGTGTAGGATTGCTTTCTTGCACAGGTTGTTGAAAGATCTTCACAGCTGTAGGCCATTTTGAAGTGAATCCTGAATATAAATCCAGTGTAGCAAATAAAGTTGACACTGACAACCACCTAAAATCCAAAATCACAATGAGCCCAGCTAAGTCCAGACATGTCAGCATTAAATGACCGGACAGGGATATTCAAAATTATAAAGGGATTTGACAGAGAGAGAAATGAGAAGCTGTTCCCATACTAGGGAAAAGGATTTAAAAAACAGGGGACATTCGACATCAGGAAATTAGGAATGTGCCTGGAATTCAGGTCACCCTATTTCTCCTTCAGAGAAGCGAACGCAAAGAGAATGTGATCTAATTGAGGCTAGAATCTGATTATATGGGTATTTATACTATGCTCATCACCAGGGTGCCTGAGAACAGTGTGCAAGAAACAGCTAGATACTTTCTATTATGAGAAGAGATTAGGTGGGAAAGTGAAGGGCAAGCAGGTAGGGTTCAAGCACCCCTTAAAGAGGTCAGACCAATTCCATCTCTCTAGGATTTATGTTGCACTATCCAAGCTTCTGCCTGTTATCAGAGCCGCTGGGGGTAGGTGCTGGACAGTCCAGCAGTCTATTACTGAAGAGATCAGCAGTCCAGCCTCCCTCTGTAACTACTGCAGTGCGAGTCCTTTTTCTGTAGGAAAAATCTGGAAAGGGAAAAAAAAAATTCAGGCAAAACAAGGGAGGGGAAGTTACGTACCGGTAATTGTGCTTGCTGTCCTCTTCTTCCTCTCCTATCCTACAAAACAAGATTTTAATATAGCAAACCATTAGAACACCCTGTGTCCAGTTAAAAAGATTGTATAGCACACAAGATTTATACACACAGGTTCTTCTTTCAAATCACTGTAATACAAAAGAAAGCAATGATACTTATAAATGAAGATGAGAGAAAAGGGAGAACTACAAACCACAATTATTGCTATGTACTTTTCACTCGCAGCAGATGCATTTACACGTGCAATTAATACACGAGCAGGAGACTGCACAGTTATGTAGTACTTACACAGGCAAGTACTAAATGACTGCACAGTAACTACAGAACTGTTGCCGCACGGTTTTTCCCCGATTACACTGCACAGTAAGAACGAACTACTGTGCAGTAGCTCATCACTACCGCACAGTAGCATCACATCACAGTTAGTGCCCGGCAATGCTACTGCGCACTCGCAACAAGCTACTGTGCAGTAGCTCACTGCAAATGTGCCGTAGCGTCTCCTGTAGATGCACCCAGTGTGATGAAATAAAACTCCAGTGCAGTTTGGGCTGGAGTCAGAGAAGTGGGTTTTCTGGAAAATTTTGAATTGGAAAATTTTCCAATGCCCTAAATAGAGACTTTAAATGGCAAAGAGCTGCTTTATAAGCAAAGGCAGATTTACCTAGTAGGTAGTAGTATAAGGCAAGAACCATACAGTGACCCTACATAAACCCAAGGGCCTGTACAGTCACAAGCAAATTCAATCTAAATCTCAAGACCAGGGTTCCTGGATTTTATAAAATGAACATTCTAGACCGGGGTGGGCAAAATATGGTCTGCGGGCCGAATCTAACCCACCAGCTCATTGAATCTGGCCCCCAGGCAGGCACCTGCCAATTAACGGTACCTGGCTCCACTCCTGCACTCTGCATGGGGCTGGGTCCCACCCATGCCCGCTGGAAGCAGCGCGTGCTGTGCTCCCAGCCTCCCCAGCCAGAGGGCACCAGCCCTGGCCAGCAGGCACAGCTTCCAGGCAGGGCTGCTGCTGCTGCTGTCCAGGGAACTGCTGGGCTGTCCTGGCCTTCAGCAACTCCTCCTCCTGTCCCTGCTGCTGTGCTCAGGGCAGCAGGTAGGGAGGGGAAGCTGCAGCATTGAGGGGAGTGGGGCTCTGCCTGCAGCTCACTCTGGTCCTGCTCATGCATGGCTGGGCAGGGGAGCGTGTGAATGGGGGGTGGGGGGCACAAAGAAGCTCCGCTGCTCACAAAGCCTCACCAGGCAGGCATGGGACAGGCAGGTGGGGCAGGAGCAGCAGTAGGAGCCAGCGTGAGCTTGGTGCAGCCCTGCTGGGCAGGTGCAAGACAGAGACTAAAGGTGCCAAGCCAAGGGCGTGTGTCATCCCCCCACTCTGCCAGGTCTTCTCTTGCTGCCTGCTGGGAGCAGCTGCTTTCCCTGTGCTGCAAGCCAGGCAGGCAGCGCTGATCCCCTTCCTGCTCCCCACCGCCTGGAGGGGCTGGGCTCAGCCATGGCGCAATGAACAGGTGGGGGGGGCACGTAGGGAAGGGAAAAGCAAAGGGGGGCAGCCTCCCATATGCACACACCCAACCCACCCAAACCCTAATCACACCCCACACATGCACTCATATCCCCTCATACTCCACCATACCTACGCACACACCCACTGTCCCACACCCCACCTACAACCCCCACATTCACCTACCCCATCATACCTACACATTCCCCAAACCTCAACCACACCCCCCCACTATACCCACACCCCCTCACACATCCCACCCTGCCACCACCCACACATACATCCAACACTGTCCCACACATCCCACCGCCCACCATAGCCACACAC